GCATTTGGAAATTCAGAACTTCAGTCCCTTAAGAAAACCCACAGTCAACACGAGCGTTTAAGTATTTTCAACTCTCTATTAGAAGTTATACTGTGGACTAATGCATGTTGGGGACAGGGAAGAGAGAAGGCGCTTTGAGGACGAGGAAAATATCAGGAGGAGATGCGAAGGGAGGGGGGAGGGGGGAGGGGAAAAGGGGAAAGGGGAAAGGGGAAAGGGGAAAGGGGAAAGGGGAAAAGGGGAAGGGGGCGAGAGAGAGGGAGAGAGATAGGAATGGAGGGGGAGAGGTTAAAGGGAAAAGGGGAAAGGGACGAGAAAGAGGGAGAGAGGGAGGATGGGAGGAAGGGGGAGAGGGAAGGAAGGAGGGAGTGAGTGTGTGAGTGAATGAGGGAAGGCGCGCGCGCGCGCGCGCGCGAGAGAGAGAGAGAGAGAGAGAAAGAGAAGCAGAGAAAGAAAAAAAGGAAAAGGGGATAGAGAGATATGAGACAAAAAGTTAAGATGTGGGAGGATGCAGGAGGAATAATACAGACATCTGTCTGTATTATGTCCCTCCTAGATGGGGAGATAGTACTCTCTCTCTCTCTGTTTCTCCGCCTTTCTTTCATTCTCTCTTTCTCCCTGTTTATCGCTTTTCCTCTATGCATCTCTATCTCTTTACCATGCTCTCTCTCTCTCTCTCTCTCTCTCTCTCTCTCTCTCTCTCTCTCTCTCTCTCTCTCTCTCTCTCTCTCTCTCTCTCTCTCTCACTCTCTCTCTCTCTCTCTCTCTCGCTCGCTCGCTCGCTCGCTCGCTCGTTCTCTCTCTCACTCTTTCTCTCTCTCGTTCTTTCTCTCTCTCGTTCTTTCTCTCTCTCGTTCTTTCTCTCTCTCGTTCTTTCTCTCGCTCGCTCTTTCTCTCTCGCTCGCTCTTTCTCTCAGTCTCTCTGTCTGTATAACCGAGTTATACCCATTAATAACAGAGCCTTTCCTGCGTCACTATCAATATAAACTTTATTCCTGTTCTTTGACACGTACACATAAACACATATATCCTTATGATTACTATTCCATCTGTTTATTTATCCCTCCCTCCCCCAACAGGTTTATCACAGTTGTTATGTGTTTCCCTTTCTCATGCGGCAGTGTTATATGCCAAATACGTCAAAGTTATCGTTAGGTCAATGTTATGGTTGTAGTGTGACGGTCTCATTGCTGGGAGACTGGATACAATACGTGAAGTTTAGCCAATAGAAGAAACATGACGTCGCGGCAGTGTTGCTAACACCCTGAGGTTCTTATCAATTACTGTCTTGTAGCTCTTTGCCTCTGAGGACCTTACAACCCCTCCCCCTCCCCCCCTCTGTCTGTCTCTTTTTCTCTTTCTGTTTCTTTACTTTTTTCTTTTTTTCACACACTCTCTCTCTCTCTCTCTCTCTCTCTCTCTCTCTCTCTCGCTCTCGCTCTCGCTCTCTCTCTCTCTCTCGCTCGCTCGCTCTCTCTCTCTCTCTCTCGCTCTCGCTCTCTCTCTCTCTCTCTCTCTCTCTCTCTCTCTCTCTCTCTCTCTCTCTCTCGCTCTCTCTCTCTCTCTCTCTCTCTCTCTCTCTCTCTCTCTCTCTCTCTCTCTTAAGGCAAATATTTCCCATTCTCATCCATTCATTACACATACAACTTACTTATCAATAAAGAAATTATCAGAGAAGAACAAAATCATCGCAGGTACATCTGATATGCAAATTAGAACATCGCTGAGCTCCTTAATTGTAAAAAAAAAAAAAAAAAAAAAAAAAAAAAAAAAAAAAAAAAAATACTGAGCAAGTTTTTCTACAATGAGGAGGGTCACAGAGTCCCCCCCCTCCCCCCTCCCACCCAACCCCCTCCCCCCCAAAAAAAAGGCAAGTCGGTTTGATGCAAGTCTGCGTTCGCCAAAACATGTTTTTATAAAGAGAGTCTTCATCTGTAACTTCGTGTAACTCGCCCTTTCAAAAGCATTTTCACTTTTTGTCACCTTCAGCTTGGCGCTTGAATGTCGTTACATATATGTGCTCGATGCATACGAATACATGAATACACACATACATACTTACATACATACATACTATACTTACTTACATACCTACCTACATACATACATATATACATACATACATACAAATAGGGTGAGGGAGAGGGAAAGGGAGGGGAAGGGGGAAGGGAAGGGGGGATGGGGAGGGGAAGGGGGAGGGGAAAGGGGAGAGGCAGAGGGAGAGGGAGAGGGAGAGGGAGGGGAGGGGAAGGGAGGGGGAGGGGGAGGGAGAGGGAGACAGGAGAAGGAGGGAGAGGGAGGGAGAGGGAGAGAGAGAGAGAGAGAGAGAGAGAGAGAGAGAGAGAGAGAGAGAGAGAGAGAGAGAGAGAGAGAGAGAGAGACAGAGAGAGAGAGAGACAGAGAGACAGAGAGACAGACAGACAGACAGACAAACAGACAGAGAGAGAGAACTACAAGGAGAGAGAGAGAGAGCTACAAGGAGAAAGAGAGAGAGATACAGGGAGAGAGAGTGCTACAGGGAGGGACAGAGCACTTGCACGACCTGAGCGAAAATTGCACAAAGAAAACGCACAAAAAAGAAAATGGAGACCCTGGAATACTTTCTCTTTTGCTTTCGTCTCATCCCACAAAATATAGTCAGATAACACGACTATCATCTTTTCTTACTTTCCTGTTATTCGCATTTTTATCCTTGTACCTAGATAAAGATAGGAAGGACAAAGATAAAATAGAAGAAAGAGATAAAAAGAAAAAAAAATAACAAGAAAAGAAAACAAAAGAAAACG